GATGTCAATACAGCACTCACGTGTAACGTGTTCAAAATAAAAAAACCTTTTAATTATAAAACTAGCCGACAATCCCCTGCTCCATAGTTCCACAGTGCTGTGGCTCAGGCACTCACTTTATGAATAACTGGATTCAATTCAGGTGCCAGTCCTTGCCTTTTCCCCTTCATGATAACTCAGGTTCCTCTTCTGTTTTTCCTTAAAGGCTCAGCTCAGTTCCACTCCTTTATTGGAAAAAATTTCAATGTTGACTTTCCTCTTTATAGTATCCATGGCATTTTCCACACATCCTTTGAGGGCGAACTTTGCAATATTTTTATTCCATCATGTCTAGCTAAGCTTCCATAACATGGTTTAAGGTTCCATAGAAATCTGGAATGTGTGTGACTGCAACTGTAACTCTTCTGTTATTTTCCTCTTGAAACAAGCAACAGAAACTCTGCTTTACTTCATTAACTCCAGCAGGGCAGGCTTAGTCTATGATTACTGAGTTTGTTGATGTCAACTAGAGGGCCATGAGTAGTCCTCTGGTCTCTGTTTTCTATAATTAACTAAATCTACACCCACTCCTTCTGAGTTCTTTTATGGGAATCACAATTATTTTTCAGCTCACTGGAATTTGGTATGAGTTGGAAGCATTTCCCTCTCATAGGGCTCTACAATTCAGTAAATGTCATAATCAGATGATGAGCATGGCTTCCTCAACAGTGGGCAAGAAAAAGATGTGAGCGAGGCCAAGAAAACCACCACAGTGAAGCAAGAAAAGTTACTCTAAAAGAGGTTTTTAGCCTTGAAGACAGAGTGTCCTGAGGTTTTATTCTTACGCATGAAGCCAAATTTTCCTGGAAGGATCCCTCCTACGGTTTTAGTGCTATATACTCCATACAATTCTATACACACTATACAAGTCTATCAGAAGCATAAGCTGCAAGATGTTCTTTGATTTCATCCAGTGGGATTGCTTCAGTGGACTATACCACAAATTATCTGCTTCCTGTTAATTGTCAGATCCTTCAAACAAGTGCTGCTTCTGCATAGATGACTGAAAACATAGGCATAAGACACAGGAAAGACCCATGACAGAGCTTTAATATTTCAGAAGATGCAAGGAGGACTCTATTCCAAAGAGGATGTGGACTAATTCTCTACAAGAACATATTTCCTTCCTGAATTATTGCAGACACAGGAACAGCTATTCTGGACCAATCTTTCTATAATAAAATTTCATTGCTCTTTGGCCTCTTCAGATAGTAGGCACAGTCTTCCTTTTCCTTTGTGTATGAAAGAGAAATTGTGGTGATATTTTATTTGTGCTGAAATGTGGTGATATTTTATTTGTATGTTAATAAATAAAGTTTGCCTGGAGATCAGAGATAATAGCAAGCCATTAACACAAAGGTCAGGCAGTGCTAGCACATGTCCTTAATCTGATCACTTGGCAGACAGGGTCTCTGTGGGAACAGCCAAGTGTGGCTATCACAAAAATTAATGTCTGAATTTTATTGTATTGTATTTGGAAATACTTTGCCTATGTCTCTAAAATAACCTCATGTATTCAATTTTGAGAATAAAAATACTCATATTGTTTTTTTAAAAGGAATTAAATGAGGGCCAGAAAGATGGCTCAATAGATAAAAGTCAAGCCTACAATCTGAGTTCAATCCCAAGTGGAAGGAAGAAGTGACTCTTGAGAGATGTCTCCGTGTGTGTGTGTGTGTGTGTGTGTGTGTGTGTGTGTGTGTGTGTGTGCGTGCGTGCGTGCGCGCGCGCGCACACACACACACACAAATAAATATAATAATATTTTAGATGGTTTAAATGATTTATTTTTTTTTTGTTTTGTTTTTTTTTTGGTTTTTCAAGACAGGGTTTCTCTATGTAGTTTTGCGCCTATCCTGGAACTCACTTGGTAGCCCAGGCTGGCCTTGAACTCACAGAGATCCACCTGCCTCTGCCTCCCAAGTGCTGGGATTAAAGGCGTGTGCCACCACCGCCCAGCTAAATGATTTATTTTTGAAGTAGAGAGCCCATGTCATCCAGGCTGGACTTGACCTTGCTATACAGCCTAGGCTGGCCTGAAATTTGTAATGTTTCATCCTTATTTTCTCACATACCAATATTATAGGCTTGTATCACTCTGGCCAATTCATAGGATATTGTTTTTAACCAATATCATCCTATACACAAAACACTTTGATATCTGTTTGGGGACAAGAATTGCCTAAAACAAACAAAAAGAGAAAACAACAGCGCCCCTCCTTCCAGCAAAACGTTCTGAGACAAAGTCTTATTTTTTTCCTTTGTGCCAATAAGCTCCTTAGGGTGAAGAAACCTCAGCCTCTTTGGAGTCTGATGCATTTTAGAAGTGTCTTAGCCCACTGCTGGGAGAAAGCCAGGAACTGCAATGCAGACCAGCTAACACTCCCCACAAATTGATGATGTCATTTCTGTGTAACTGCACACATTCACTAGAAACTTATATTGGAGTGCCGGTGAACACACCTCTGCATGGTCTTTCTGCCAACACTGAACACTGATATCCTGTGTTACATCTATAACCAAAAGGAAGAGAAATGGAAAGGACTAACTTATTACCCAAGTACGTGGACTCAGGAAGGATTTGCAAGTGAGGAAAGACCCATTTTTCTTTCCTAGATCAGGAACATCACCCAAGAGAATGCTAAAGAGTTGTAATCTCTCCATTTCTCTGTCTCTGCTTCTCTCTGTGTTTCCTTGTCCTTTTTTTCCTTTGCCTCTCTTGATCTAGTTTGCTCTCCCCTTTTCTCTCCCCCATACAATTAACAGCAAAATTACACCTGAACCAATAACCATATAAAAGACCCACAATATGTTTCCTTTAAATTGCACGCAGCAGACATCTTTCTACTTAGCAACACAAAAATAGGGAACTCTCAACGTGAGCGTGCTGTGATCAGTAATTACTTCCTGCATCTAATCCACTTAAGATCTGCTGAGGTTTGAGTTTGTTTTGACAGTAGATGGGAAGAATAGCAGCCTCCAGAACAGTGGTTTGGTGAATGTGAGTGCTGAAGAGATCCTCTTCGCTTGGCAGGAAGAAATGAAGAGTTGTGTCCTGCTTTGCAGACAGTAGCTCTACAAACTGCTAAGCCCTGAGCATCCAGACAGCAGTCTCACTGAAAGCCTGCACAGCAAATCTGTGGATGGCTCGAAAGGCAGAGTGTGTGTTATGGTTTGTATGAGGAATGTCCCCCACAGGCTAATTTGTTTGAACATCTGGTCCCCAACTGATGATACTGTTTTGAGAGATTACGGACTCTTTCAGAGGTGGGTAGCTGTAGCTAGAGTTTTCCGCCTTGCCCACAGTCAGGACAAATCTTTGTCACCCGCCAGTCCCACAGCCACTCAGACCCAACCAAGTAAACACAGAGACTTATATAGCTTACAAACTGTATGGCCGTGGCAGGCTTCTTGCTAACTGTGCTTATAGCTTAAATTAATCCATTTCCATGAATCTATACCTTGCCACGTGGCTGGTGGCTTACCGGCATCTTCACATGCTGCTGGTCATGGTGGCGGCTGCAATGTCTCTCCTCCTCAGCCTTCCGCTTCCCAGAATTCTCCTCTCTCCTTGTCCCACCTACTTCCTGCCTGGCCACTGGCCAATCAGTGTTTTATTTATTGACCAATCAGAGCAATTTGACATACAGACCATCCCATTTGTTCCAGATTAAGATACATCAGGTTTGACCAGCCAAGACCACCTGAAAGGTCTCCGATGACACCATGGCCCAGATGATCCAACATCCAGAATCGTTTCAAGGCAACTGGCTCAGATGATACAGCCTCACGGACTACTCCATGATCCTAAAATTTTCTTTGTGTCCCCATAAGATACAGCGCCCCCCTCCAGCAGGAAGTAGTAAGAGAAGCTACGCCCAAATTCCCAAATATACCAAGCTGACTTTGGAGATGTGTAAAAGTTAAAACCTTCCTTTAAAAAAAAAAGAAAGGGGAAGTGCTGTGGGATGGTCTGTATGTCAAATTGCTCTGATTGGTCAATAAATAAAACACTGGTTGGCCAGTGGCCAGGCAGGAAGTAGGTGGGACAAGGAGAGAGGAGAATTCTGGGAAGTGGAAGGCTGAGGCGGAGAGACACTGCAGCCGCCGCCATGATCAGCAGCATGTGAAGACGCCAGTAAGCCACCAGCCACGTGGCAAGGTATAGATTTATGGAAATGGATTAATTTAAGCTATAAGAACAGTTAGCAAGAAGCCTGCCACGGCCATACAGTTTGTAAGCATTATAAGTCTCTGTGTTTACTTGGTTGAGTCTGAGCGGCTGTGGGACTGGCGGGTGACAAAGATTTGTCCGGACTGTGGGCAAGGCAGGAAAACTCTAGCTACAGGTAGCAACTGAAGGTCGTGATATCCATCTTCAGTTCTTTCTGGAGTAATTGCCTCTTCTTGTCTGCTACAGCAATGTGACGTGGTGCCCTTTACAAGCAGCCTACGCTTCTGCTGCTGTGCTTTTCCCACAGGGTGTTTTTATGTCCCCCGAATCTGCGAGCCAGGGTATATCCTTACTCGTTAAACCTGCAAGGTCTTTTACTGCAGTGATGAAGAAAGTGACTCACAGAGTAGGCATGAAAATGAAGCATCCTTCTCTGTTTGCACCTCCCCATCTGCCATTTTTACCATCCAATTTGTTCATCTACTGGTATCCTTTGCACTCCAGTTCTAGAGTGCCACTATTTTAAGTTGTTCTCTCTACACGTAAAATCTCACTTATGATGACACATGCCCTCACAATCTTTGCAACTCTCATCTCTTTTACTTTGGTTATCCTGTCTTTATTTTCCTCTTGGAGTAGATTCCAGTAGACTTCACAAGTGGATAGTCTATTGGCTGAACTAATTCACACTTTAGTTGGAATAACAGAGAGCCTCCTTATTATTCCCAGAAAGTCTACTTTTTAAGAAGACCTTTATTATCCAAAAAAAAAATCAATAGTTGGGACATTTCAGAAACTATGAAGTGAAGTAAAATAGTTTAGGCAGTGTGGGAAGATTTGCTGGTGGGTAAAGTCAGTAGACAGCTGTTCCAGTGGGTCATAGAACAAGGCAAGGTTTGTGTTGATGAACCAGCCACACTATGTCGACTTTGACTGAAAAGTCACAAAGCTTGTGAAATCCCAGTTAGCAGTGGGAAAGGGAGCTGTCTGTGAGAAGGAAATATCATGAAATGGATCAGATGTAGACCATTTTAGACATTTTGTGGGCTAACAATTGTTATTTTATTGGTGAGCAAAAAATCAGTAAGAACTGCTGCTGCCCTTGCTCCATTTAGTGTCCCCTGAGAATGGAGGAGCCAATGGTGGTTGAATGGAATTCATATAGCAGTTTTCGACTGCTGGGGGAGTGCATCTGCTGTGTGTGTGTGCTGCTCCGTGGCATCTTCTGAGCAAGACGGTGAGATGAGGAAGGTGGAAGATGGAGGGGCTGGGCTGGTTTCTTGCTTTGGGAGCCTGAGCACAGCATTTCTCCTCGGAACTTTGGTCTCCCCTCTGTTAAGATGAGATCCTAGTGATAATTTACATGCACAGTGTCATTGTGATGTCAAGGACTCATTGAAATAATTCAGAACTTAATAGGTTGGGAGGTTCTCTTAAAACCTGGAGCCTTTGTTTATCAGTCCATTATCAGCTCTGTTTAAATCCACAGGACACTTGGCACATAAAAGCCAAAGCACACACTGCATGATTTTCCATAACTTTGATTTTTTTCCTTCTGAGTATGTGTACCATCCCATCTTCTTTCTACATATTTTTAGCCAAAGCTATTTTCATCCAACTTGTCTTTTTTGCCATTGCACATATGTGTGTTTTCCAGAGGTTTAATCATACTTATATAGATATTTTTCCTATGATGCACCTAAGCTGACTACAGGGAAATAAGTTAACTCAGTGTGATGGATTTTCTTTGGGGAAGTATAGAGGATTAAGGAAAGTGTCTGTGGGATGAGACAACATTCTCCTTGGAAAAACCTCAGTTACATTAGTACAAATTCCACTAAACAAGGCCACTGATGACCAAAATTAGAAAATCCCCATGAGTCATCAAACTTGAATCATTGCCTATAATATAGCATTACATGTATCATTTACCTATTTATGAAGCCAGTTGAGAGAGCCTTGTAAGTTTTCCTCCAGCGTAAAAAGCCTCCATATGTTTGGGGTTGGTAAGATGGCTCCACTAGAAGAGAAGTGGGGATGGGTGGTGAGAGAATGATTCTCCAGGGAATGTCTCATTCTTCCCACCTTAGAGCTGTGTGATTTTACATTTCTTTCCAGTTTTTCTTTACGATTGCTGAGGATAGCTCCACTAGGTAATGTTAACTCTATTTCATGTGCTAACCCATAGCCTGGTTGACAGGTAGAGCCAACTTACTCTCTCCCACCCCACTTCCCCTCTTACTTCCCTTCTGTGTCCCTCTGTGTCTGCTTGCCTCTTTCTTTCCCCTCCCCTCCTCACTTTTTTGAAATCATTCTACCTCATTTATTTATCTATTCATTTTTAATTTTTTCTTTCTTCTTCCCTTCCTTCTTTCTTTTTTTCTTTTTTTGTTTGTTTTTCGAGACAGGGTTTCTCTGTGTAGCTTTGTGCCTTTCCTGGAACTCACTTGGTAGCCCAGGCTGGCCTTGAACTCACAGAGATCCGCCTGTCTCTGCCTCCTGAGTGCTGGGATTAAAGGCGTGCGCCACCACCGCCCGGCTTCCATTTCTTTTTTTTTTAAATTTTATACTCACGGAACTGAGTACGCTGCAACTCTCACTTTATACTGTGATTTATCCACACATAACTTTCCTCTTATATTAAACTACTTATGTTATGTTATTCTCTAGACTACTCACCTCAAAATCTTTTTGTCTACCATAAGCTTCTATTTATTCTGCAGTTATTCTGAGCTCTTTGAAATAATCCTTCATATTTTTACTTATAAATATTTTGCCAAAAGCAATGTGTTACTGCTTTTGCATATATATATATATATATATATATATATATATATATATATATACACAATGTTATTATTTCTTTATTCACTCAACATGTTTTCAAGTTTATCTGTATCAATATATATGGAACCAATTCATTTCTCCCAATTCCTATACATTTCATCTTTTTCTCTTATTTATTAATTCTTGTTTTTCTTCTAACTACCACAATACTACACAAAATACATACACTTTTAAACATGTATTTATTAGTATAAGAAGTATTTCTTCTGTGTGATGGAGTATATAACTTTATAATCTCTAGGTTCAAAACTTGTAGTTGAGTTTTGTAACTATTCCCAAGTTAGTTTGGGAAATGGCTGCAATAACATGCCTAGCTGCATGGAAACCCTGAATTCCTTATATTTTAGTTCCAACTTGACACTGTTAACATCTTATTTTCACTAAAATTATGGGAACAAAGTACTATCTTACTGTTGTTTGACTTTAACAGGTTTGTGATTGCTAATAACATGAAGACAATTCATTTATCTATTAGGCACTTGGGCTTCTCTTTATCTCTTCCAATCTTACTATTGGAGTTTGCATCTTCTCTTACAGTTTTATAGGAGATTGTGTAGTCTATATATTCCTTGCCAGATGTAGATTTTTTTTTTATAGAATTTGTCATTAGATACAAGCAAATCTACCAGGTTTATCCTTTGTGAAACTGATTTTGTGTTGTAAGATCCTTCCATGTTTTAAAAAGGTGTTCAATTTTTAAAAGGTTTTAATTTTCTGCAGTTGATAATAACAGAGTTCATATGACACAAAGAAAAGATAATGAAAAAGTATGAGGGTTAGAAAAGAAGTTGAAGTTTGAGGCTAACCTAGTCTATGTAGTGAGTTCCAGGTCAAGTCAGGTTTCTAGATAAGTATATATATATTATCAAGAAACTATTATACATACAAAAATATAGAAATATAGCTGGATATAAAATAAACAAATAAGCAAAAACAGGTTTAAAGATGTAGAAAATCTAATTTATCATATTAATGTTGTGGTTTGCATGAGAATGTCCTCCATAGGCTCTGGCATTTGAATTCTTGGTTTCCAGCTGGTGGCACTGTTTTGGGAAGTAGAGATGATTTGTTCTTGCTGGAGAAAAGTATGTCATGTGAGAGAGCTTTGAGGTTTCAGAGATTCACACCATTCCCAGTTTGGTTCTTGCTTACTGTGGAAGCTAAGACCCTTCAGCTTCTCTCTCAAGCCCCTAGGTCGGCTGCTGGCTGTCATGCTTCCCCACCATGAAGGACGCTTCCCCTTCTGGAACTGTAAGCTCAATCAAATAAACTCCCTTTTTCATAAGTTGCTTGGCCAGAGTGTTTTATCATAGCAATAGGAAAGTGACTTATACAATAAATTAAAGGGCAAGAATCATGAATAAAGTAAAAGCATTTACTACATTCAGCATTCAGTAATGAAAATACTGATAACAGAGCCCCACAAAAATCCATTTAAATACATTATAGCCTATAAAGCAATACCACTTATTTTTAGTAGTTATTGTTAAAGAGAAAGTATAATATTAATATAGTAAGATTAAACAGATAGACATTTTGACATGCTGTGGTGGTTTGAATTAGAATGACCTCCCACAGGCTGATGTGTTTGAATACTTGGTCCAAATAGAACTATTTGGAAAGGATTAGCAGGTGTCATCTCATTGGAGGAGGTGTATCCCAAGGGGCTGACTTTGTGGCTCTAAAAGCCCAAGCCATTCCCCATTAGTGCACACTCTCTGCCTTGTGTTTGTGGATCAGAGGTAAGCTCTCAGTTACTACTCCAGCACTATGGCTGCTTGCATGCTGCATGCTTCCTGCCAGGATGGTCATGGACTCTAACCCTCTGGAGCTGTAAGCTGCAAATTAAATGCTTACTTTTATAAGTTGTGTTGGTCATAGTATCTTAACACAGTGATAGAGAGCGTTTATTTTCCTCCATCTAACCCATAAATGAATGCAATGCAAATAAAAATACCAGGTATACATGAATAGCTGAAAACAGTATGGAAAAGAAGCAATATGACAAGAGATAATCCTTAAAATACAAAAGCTATTACAAATATGTCCTAATTATTCTAGCACAAAATAGACTAGTAGGTTATTAGATTAAAATAGTTATTTCCAAAACCAAAAATAAGGGGAATTCCAAAGGATGGATTAGCTAAATATTTTATAAGGATGACTTAAAGAATACTTTTGATATGTAATAAAAACAATGTATTTGCTATGTCTCAACATTGCTTTAGTTGAAACATATATGATCTTATAAGAGCCACATGAAGATGTTTAACATCACTTTCCAAGTGATAAAATTCAGACATATATTGGTGGAAATATTAAGCCAAGCACAGAAACATTAAATAGCTTGAAGAATCCCAAGCAGGAATTCCAACCCAGGCAGTTAACTCAGTGTCTGTAAGCCTAACCACTATTCCAGGCAGCAATCTCAGAATGACATTGGCTTATTCTAAGCAGGAAAATAAAATTAGTTCCTTACTTAAAACTGCAAACACACAAAAATAACCTCTGGACTGTCATCCTCTTTTTAAAGCTTATGACATCACCTAGGTTTTCTGGTCATTGGATCTGGTGGGTGGGTGGTGACTAACTCACCTCATAACATAAATCTAAACATTTTAAATTTCTTAGAATTTCCTGCTGGCACCAGGATATTAGTTTTTCTTTATACTTGCTAAATGGCCTCTGGTCTATATTATACAGAAAAAAAAACCAAACTTGCAATCAAGTTTGAAGAAAAAGAAAAATTGGCAAACAAGGATTGACGATTGCTGGCTGAGACATAGCTTGGTGGTAGACTATGCTAGGCTCTAAGGTCAATTCCCAGCAGTACAAAAACATTGCCAATGATGGTCTTGCAGGAAAAAATAGAGAAATAAAAAAGTGACAAGCCATCTGCATTCTACATCAGAGCAGAACCCACCATCTGGAAATGTTTGTTTTTGAGAAAAGATAAGAAAGATGGTTGAAAAAGGGAATTTTGATCCATATTGACGCATACACCCTTGGAAGATCTTGGGACATGTCACCTTAATGCCGAGATGCTTCCTAAATATTAGTTATGGTGGAAAGCAAAAAAGTATATAATCTCTAATGATGTAAAGATAAAGACATGTATCTAGAAACCTATTAATTCATCTTTACATGAAACCAGTGAAATTATATATGTATTAGTGTGGATTCAAGATACCATTACTGACATGATAAACTTTCAGTGACTAAAGACATTGCAAAAGTTTGTTTTTCTTTTACTTACTTTAAATTTGTATTAAAAATATCCCTCTGACACAGCTCTTAACTTTCCTCTTCCCACTGAATCAAAAGTTGGATTTAAATAAGCAAATGGCAGAGGGGAAATTCATCCATTTCCCAAACCTCTTTCAAATGTTTGTGGATATTAAAGAAAATGAATTATTATAATTATCATTAAAATCTCTTATCAGCTTATAAATATGCACATATGCTTTTTGTGTGTGTGTTCTGAGAATTGGACATCAATCCTTGTGCCTGCTAAATAAATGCTCTACCACTGACCTATATCTCCAAGTCTTTTTTAGTTTTACTTTTATTTTGAGGTACAGTCTCACTAAGGTGTCCAGCGTGGCATTAAACTCACTTTGTAGCCCAAGAAAACTCAAACTGGTAATTATCTGCATTAGCTTCCTAAGTAGCTGGGATTATAGACCTGTGTCACCTAGCCCAGATCATCTCTAACATTTTTACTCTTTTTAGATTTGCAGAAGATTCTTATATAATTTACATATTCTTAACCAGACAGAAATTACTTTCTCAGATATATGATATCTATCATCTGATAAAATCAAATTAATCAAACATTTTGGGGGGAATCCTTGCCCTCATCTTCATAAACAGTTGTTGGCCATTCCATTGTTTCTTATGTTTTTTGTTTGTCTGATTGTTTGTTTGTTTTTGATTATTCGATACAGGGTTTCTCTGTGTAACAGTCCTAGCTGTCCTGGAACTCGATCTGTAGACCAGGCTAGCCTTGAATTCACTGAAATCTGCCTGTCTCTGCTTCCCAAGTGCTGGGATTAAATGTGTGTGCCACCACTGCTCAGCTCTCTTAATTTTGTTTTATACAATAGTCATACATTTTGATCCTATCCATGTTAATGATGTGGGCACAAGTAGGCTCATGTTTTCTTTCCAGTT